TCCTGCTGCACTTCCCGCCGACTCTGCCCTCAAGGCTGGTGCAGCGTCTCCAGGAGGTCAGTGGGGGCCAGGGAGCTGCCCAGCCGATGGCCGACGCAGGGTTGGGGGCGTGGCCTCGTCCTAGCCCCGGTTTCCCTGTCCCCCTCCCCGTGGAGCCCCCGGTAACCCCGGCAGGGTGGGGCACATGCTGGGACCCTCTGCAGCCTACTTCTCCTGCAGGTCTCCCTGCGGCGGGGCTTGAGGGCCGACCCTGGGGTGCTGGCTGCCCTCTGCGAGAAAACGGACAATGACATTCGGGCCTGCATCAACACCCTGCAGGTCGGGGGCGGGCCGGTGCCGAGTCGGGTGGGAAGGGGTTGGGAGTTGGCTGCCTCTTATGCTTCCCCCACTCGTCCAGTTTTTGCACAGCCGGGGCCAGCGGGAGCTGAGCGTGCGGGACGTGCGGGCCACACGCGTGGGCCTCAAGGACCAGCGCAGAGGGCTCTTCTCAGTGTGGCAGGAGGTCTTCCAGCTGCCTCGAGCCCAGAGGTAGGCGACACGGCCTTGGCTCAGACAGCCGTGGGTCCTGGGCCCCCGGATGCTGGCCCTCCGTGCAGACCAGCGCAGCCGAGCTGGGGACTCCGTGTCCTGAGCCCGTGGCTGCCTGCCAGCTTCCAGGGCCCTCCTGGCCTTTCCCTGGCTTGTTTTGCCACCCAGCCTTGGTTTCTCAGCCACAGAAGCCACCAGGGCCCCTTTGGGAAGGACGCCCTGATTCGGTGGGGTCCCCTGGGGGCCCCGCAGCTCGGCTTCCACCTCTGGCCCAGCTGCACCCTCAGTTTTGCCACATTCGGTCTGGGCTATGGTGTCTGTACCCCTGCCTGCCCATACCGCGAGGTATCCTGTGGGTGGAAGCAGCCAGCACGTCTGTGTGGCCCGGTGCGGGGCCCCAGGGGGTGCCGGTCTGCTTGTTCCCTGGGGCATGAGAGGTGCCAGCCTGGGGCTGCGGGACGTGCTGCTCCTGGCCTGGACCCCGGGTTCGGGGGTGGGCTCACCCTGGGGTCTCCTGGACCCAGAGAGTCAGGACAGGGCTCCTCCTCATGTTGAGGGAGGTTTTCAGGGAGTTGAGGGCAGGTTGTGTCCCCAGCTGTCTCCACGTGAGCAAGGGAGCGAGGGCCCTGCTGAGAAGCGTGGACTGGGGGTGCCTCTGGGAGGCATGGGGCTGCCTCCGCTTGCACACGGGCCCGTCCAGCTTCAGTCCCCCATCTGCAGGCGCCGTGTGGGCCAGGACCCTGCCCTGCCTGCCGACACGCTCCTGCTGGGTGACAGGGACGCAGGCTCCCTGACCTCGGCCTCGCAGCGATTCTACCACGTTCTGCACGCGGCTGCCTCTGCGGGCGAGCACGAGAAGGTGGTCCAGGTACTTGCCCTCCACCAAAATCCCCGCTGGGGGCCGCTTGGTAAGGGCCTGGGCTGTGCCCTTGCCCCTGCCAGCCCTCCGTGAGGAGGGGAGATGCCTCGGGGTGCTGAGAGAGGGAGACGGGCGTCGGGAGATGGGGCACCAGGAGGCCTCTGAGGTGGGTAGCCGGAGCCCGGGGGGGTGGGGGGCTGTAGGGCATGGGCTTCGGCAGGCAAGGAGGGAGGGAGCGGCGTCTGACTGGGGAGGCTGTGGTGGAGGCTGCTCGGGACTCTCAGCCAGTTGGGGGGGAGCCTCTGCCTGACCACCTGGCCTAGGGCTGTGAGGGGCTGGCACGTGGGGTGGAGAGCAGGGCAGTGACGGCTTGGCCTGAGCATGTGGCAGAGGCCTTGCTGCCACCCTGCCCCTGGGAGTCCCTGGCTAAGCTACCTACCAACTCTAAGCAGCTTTGGATTAGCGACTGGGGATCCATGACCAATCCTGAAATCTGTGCTGTAGAGAGGTGGTGTAGGGGGGCGGTGTGGAGCAGCGGGGGTGATGGACTCCGCTGCAGAATGTGGGGGGCCTCCATGCCCTGGATTCTGGTGGGTGGAGCTTCCTCAGGCGGTCTAAGGAAGGGCTGAGTGAGGCTGCACCCCTTTGGCTCCTGGAGGCCACCTGGTGGGCAGTGAACCCCCCCTCAGCCTGTCAAGCTGGAGTGGGGATGCTTAGGGTGGACCCTCCCCAAACCCCCTGGGCCCTGTGGCTCCTCGATGGTGTTTGCTGCTGCCCCAGACACCCGGCCTCACGGGGCAGGCGGGAGGTGGGGGCCACGGTGGCACGCCTCCCCTGGGGTGGGCAGGAGCTCAGGGTCGCTGGCCGCCTGCAGGGCCTGTTTGACAACTTTCTGCGCCTGCGCCTGCGGGACTCCAGCCTGGGCGCCGTGTGCACGGCCCTCGACTGGCTGGCCTTCGACGACCTGCTGGCACGGGCTGCCCACCACAGCCAGAGCTTCCAGCTGCTGCGCTACCCACCCTTCCTGCCCGTGGCCTTCCACATGCTGTTCGCCTCCAGCCACACGCCCAGGATCACCTTCCCCAGCAGCCAGCAGGAGGTGTGCCCGCCCCAGCCCCCTGTGCCGTCCGTCCGTGTGGCTGCTCCCCTCCCGTTTCCCCACTTGGCCTGGGAGGCCCCGTGACCAGGCCTTGGGTCACCCACTGCCCCAGGCCCAGAACCGGACGAGCCAGATGAGGAACCTGATCCAGACGCTGGTGTCCGGCATCGTGCCAGCCACGCGCAGCCGGGCTACGCCCCAGGCTCTGCTCCTGGACGCCCTCTGCCTGCTCCTTGACATTCTCGCACCCAAGCTGCGCCCTGTGAGTGTCCTTCCTAGGGTGGGGGACTCCCCACCTGCTGCTCCCCCACCCCAGGTGAGCACACAGCAGTACAGCCTGCTCAGCCCCCCGCCTGCTGCCCCACCCAGGTCAGCACGCAGCTGTACAGTGTCCGCGAGAAGCAACAGCTGGCCAGCCTGGTGGGCACGATGCTTGCCTACAGCCTGACCTACCGCCAGGAGCGCACGCCCGACGGGCAGTACATCTACAGGCTTGAGCCGTGAGTCCCATGGCGCCTGGGGTGGGGGACTGGGGGCGGCGCTCCAGGTGCCAAGGCCCGCGTGGGACCAGGGGTCTTGAGAGCAGTCACGGGAGGGTGTCTGGGGGTGGTGGGCGCAGCGCAGCCTTTGCCCAGATGTGACCGCGAGAGGCTGGGTACAGCCGTGGGACCAGAGTTCTGCTGCAGAGCTACTCCCTGCCTTAGCGTCCCCACATGGAGCTGCAGCCAGGCGGCCTTGAGAGTCCCACTGTGGGTTGGCCACAGGGTGGCGGGGCTGAGGCACGGGGCAGTGGCCCCAGGGTCCTGCTGCTCCAGCGACGGGACTGGCGTGCAGGACGCCGAGTCACTCTGTGAAACCCTCAGCAGGTTTCATTGTCATCCTGTGTACGCTTGCAGTTGGGGAAACTGAGGCTTAGGGGTGTTAAACCCGGCTGCTGCAGGGCTGGGGTGCAGTGGTGCCGGGATTCAACCCCACATTCCCGCTCTACTGTTGTGGCGTTTGGAGTTTGCGGTTGGAGTGCCCCGTGGGTCTCTGGCCCTGGGCCTGGCCCCACTGACCGGTGCCCTGGCGCCTGCCCACTCTGAGCAGGAACGTGGAGGAGCTCTGCCGCTTCCCTGAGCTGCCTGCCCGCAAGCCCCTCACCTACCAGGCCAAGCAGCTCATTGCCCGAGAGATTGAGGTGGAGAAGATGCGGCGGGCAGAGGCTTTGGCCCGGGCAGGGAACAGCCCCCAGGTGAGCCCACCCAGGTTCTGGAGCAGGTTGAGGCCTGGGCATGGACCATCCCCACTGTAGCCCTGTGTGGCCAACCCTGACAGTGCCTGCTTCCTGCAGGTGGATGGGAGCCCGCCAGGGCTCGAGGGTCTGCTGGGGGGCAGTGGGGAGAAAGGGGTGCGGCGACCTGCCCCACGAAACCACGAGCAGCGGCTGGAGCACATCATGAGACGCGCGGCCCCAGAGGAGCAGGTGCGGGAAGGGGCAGCAGCAGGGGCGGGGCCCAGGTACCTTTGGGGGGTGGGGCTGGGGCAGCCATGGGGCGGGGCTGAGGTCCCTTTCGGATAGGGCTGGGGCAGTCGTGGGGGGGGGGGGGGGGTACCTTGGGGGGTGGGGCCAAATCCACGGTGGGGGGCGCGGGGGGGCTGGGGCTGAACCACAGATGGAGTCTGGCTTGGGGTGGGGCTGGCTCAGTGCCCTAAGCCGGACTCTGAGGGTCCAGCTCCCTGCTGTCAGCACCAACAGGGTTCCACCGGGCCTGTCTCCTGCCCGGGCAGAAGAGTGACCCTATTGGCTTTCTGCTTGGTCCCTGTCTGAGGAGATGGCAGTGAGGGGTGGGGGGTGCTGGCCTGGACCAGGTTGGGAAAGGTGTCTCAGAGGCGCTCCGGCCCCTCCTTCCTGGAAAGGCCCTCGGTCCTCCCATCGTGGGCAGGGGCCACATAGGGCGTCTGCCCTACAGGGCTGACCAAACCCTCTTCCCGGTCAGCCTGAGAGGGACTTCTTCGGACGTGTGGTGGTCAGGAGCGTGGCGGCGCCGAGTGCAGGTGTGTGTGGGGTTTGCAAGGTTGTGGGGGACCTGGGGTGCCGGGGTCCAGCTGAGGAGCAACGCTGTGGCCCCACAGGGGACACGGCCCCGGAGCAGGACTCAGTGGAGCGGCGCATGGGCACGGCGGTGGGCAGGAGCCAGGTCTGGTTCCGCTTCAACGAGGGCGTGTCCAACGCGGTGCGGCGCAGCCTGTACATCAGAGACTTGCTCTAGTCCTCGGACCCGCGGGACGCCCCGCATCGCTTCCCGCAGGCCGTGCGGGGGGTCGGAACCCGGAAGCTCTTTATAAAGTCACACCTTTACAGACTGCAGTCACGCGCGAGTGGCGTGGGCTCGCGGGGCGGTGGGAGTGGGCGGGGCAGGGCTCGCGGGGCGGTGGGAGTGGGCGTGGCAGGGCTCGCGGGGCTGAGTGGGCGGGGCAGGGCTCGCGGGGCGGTGGGAGTGGGCGGGGCGGTGGGAGTGGGCGGGGCGGTGGGAGTGGGCGGGGCAGGGCTCGCGGGGCGGTGGGAGTGGGCCGGCGTGGGGGTGGGCCGGCGCCGCTCACAGGATGGTGCACTTGCCCTTCTCCACCCACGGGTTGTTCTTCATTAGGTCGGGGTTCAGGAAGGGGTCTTTGGGGATCCCATCCTCAATCCACTTTAGCAGCCTGTGGGTGGGCAGGTGGGCGGGCGGTAGGTGAGGGGTGGCACCTAGCCCCGAGGGCCTCGTGCTGCACCTGCCGGTCGGCGCTGGTCTTGGCTATGGAAATGAGCGGCCAGCGCGGGTTAGACAAACGAGAGGCAAATCAGGCGGGTGGGGCACTCACTCGGGGATGGTCTTGGAGGCCGTCTCTCGCTGGTAGGACAGCTGGTACTTGAGGCTCTCCACCTCCTTCTTCATCTGCGGCACGTCCCACTCCTCCATGGCGTCGGGGGCTTCGGAATCAGCCAGCCTGGGGCTGGAGAGCACAGGAGGAAGCCTCAGAACCAAGGCCGCCAGCCTGCGGTCCCCACCTCCCCAGCTGCTTCCTCCCCGCAGGCCTGAGCTGAGCCCCCCAGGATGAAGTGGGGAGAGTCCCTGCCACTGCCTGGGCAAGTTCCCTGAGTCCTGCTCTCTCCACCCCTGTCCTTCCCCAGGTCCACAGGTGTTGCTAGGGTGCAGGGCACAGGGCGTGTTCCCACGAGGCCGCAGCCCACCTCCCCCAGCGGGGTTAATTAACTGCAGGAGAAACTTTCCATCCTCAGCTACACCCCATCCCCCACACCTGACGAAGGTTCCTTGAAGACAACAGAATGGGTGCCCAGCATGGCAGGTTCCCAGCTCCCACTTTCCCACTGAGGCCCTTGCAGGCTGACCCAGACCATGGTGTGGGGTGGGCCAGGTCCACTGTGTGCCCCCCCCCCCCCCGTTTTGCATGGGCAGAGCCCAGCTCAGAGCCGGTGCCTCCTGGGCAGGGAGGCTTTGCTGCAGATTGCATTTTTGGCAGGTGTAGTGGGGTGGGCTGGGATGGGGTGTGTGCTCAGGAACTTGGGGGCTCAGGCTACATGGCCTGAGTCTGGGATGTGGGCTGTGGGTGGCCCCTGGGTCCCCAGTGTGCTTGGTAACCACACACAGATCACCTGCAGGCTTTCTGCTTGTGGCCAGCGTGGGAAAGCCACAGGTTGACACCTCTCAGAACTGTTGGAAGTTCAAGGCGAGGGAAGGGTGGGAAGCCCCCTGCCTCTCCCACCCCCTGCCCACTCCCGGGGCTCAGGGAGTCTCACTCTGCCCCAACCCTGGCCCCAATCCCTGAGGTTAGGAGATGGGGCTGGCTTCCTCGACCTTGGGAAGGTGGGTAGGGGGCTGGCGCTGAGTTTGGGGGAGCCTTCCTCTGGCTGTCAAGGGGTCTCCTGGCCCAACAGGCTCCCCATCCCTTTGGTCTCACAGCAGTGCCACCCACCTATGGAGGGGCCCAAGGCCTGGCGCTGGTGGGATCCTGGTTGGTTAATTGGACAGACTGTCAGAAGCTGGGTGGGAGCCCAGGGAGTGGGTGGGGGCAGGTTTCTGGGGAAACCATTAGGGTCATGCAGAGGATTCTCCCTCTGTGGGGGCCTTTCTTCAGAGACCCCCCCCCCACACAGCCACGTGGGTGTGGGTCCGGCTGCCAGGGGGTCCTTGCCCAGCCCTGCCTGCCAGCAGCCCCTGCCCCCAAGCCCCGCCTGCCAGCAGCCCCTGCCCCCAAGCCCCGCCGCCTGCCGCGCACACCCCGTGGACGCCCCCAGCCACGGCACTTGGCAGACACTGCGGGGGCGCACGGTGCTCAAACGGACCGCGGCTCCCCTGAATCTCATAAGCCGCCGCCCCACTTGCAGCACCACCCGGGAGTTAGGGTGAACCCAGGGGACGAGTTGGGCAAGCCAAAAGCCATGGGCCCTCCCCAGCCCCAGGGGCCTGTTTGGTGGCCCTACCTTGAAAGGTGACAGCGTAGGGACAGTGATGACAACGGCCAGGCGACCGCGAGTGACAGCGAGGGCCAAGTGCTGTGCCGGGAGTCTGCCTGGCAGAGCCCCGCTGGGCCCCGCCCCTCCCGCCACCTGGGCCCTGGCGCCGCCCCACCCCCTCCTCAGGGCTGAGCTGACCCCAGAGAGCCTGTGCTGCCGCCTCCCTGGGGCTCACCCAGCGAACAGACATGCAGCCAGGGGCCGGTGTGGGGCTGTTCCAGTTTCCCCGAGGGGCCGGCTTGGGCACCGGCAGAGCAGTCTCCAACCGGGGGGGGCGGGTTCCTGCGCTGCATACTAGGGGCCTTCCCCCTCCAGTGTCCTGGGCCACCCAGGAGGAGTGGGGATGGGGCCAGGACCTGCAGCCTGCGGGGTTTGGGTGACCCTCAGCCATGTCCCCCACAGGGCATCCTGTATGGGCCTTGTGGCTCACCCTGGGATGTCAGCCTCTTCCTGCTGAGGGCCCTGGGCCTCCGGAGAGCTCCCTGTTCCGTCCCAGCTCCCCATTTCCAGGCCAGTGGTGGGCACAGTGGGCAGCTCCTGAGGGCAGTAGGGTGCCACACTGGTATGCCCTGAGCTGAGGGTGGCATCCTGAGGCGTCCCTGACACCAGGCCCGTCGTGGGTGCTATGGGGGTCACTGTCTCGGGAGAGGTGTGTTGGCTGTGGCACTCAGGCTGGGGCCGGGCGGCCTCGAGGCTCTGGGAGGGGCTTCCCTTGGGGGCTTGGCACATGTCAGCCTGCGGAGCTGAGACCTGCCCCTGTTTTTCCTCCAAGTTTCTCCGTGTGTCCTCCACCCGCCCCTGGTGCACCCCTTGGACTCCTGCGGGAGTTGCACCCGGTACACACCAGGCTTCGTCCTGGGTGGGGGTCCCTGGCCCTCAGCAGCCGCCTCTGAGGGTGCAGGGCCAAGCTCCCCAAACTCAGTCCTGCAGAAGCTGGGCCACCACGTCCCAGGGAGGACTGGGCCAGGCCCTTCACGGGTGCTCCCAAGGCCAGGGGCCTGTGAGAGGTCACAGGGAACTGCCTGGCCTGCCTCAGGTGGCCCAGAACCCTGCAGGAGTGGTCGGGGGGAGGTGGGCCACGTCCCCCTCGGGCTCCCAGGCCCCTGAGGCCACTCAGCAGGCCTCCCGCTCTCTGTGACTCCAAGAATCGGGGCCACCTGCACCTCCCACCCTGATGTGGGTCGGCTGGTTCAGAGATGCTTCTGGAACTGGGGCACATCAGGGAAGGGATTATTTTTATTATGGATTTGGGGGTGGGGTGGGGGAGCTTAAAGCCCAGGGTGCCAGGCCGCCTCCTCAGACAGATGGCTGCCCCTCCGGGCACGGTGGGGGCTGGACGAGGCTGCCCTGGTGCCTGCCCTGCCCAGCTGGGCCCCTGGGTGCTGTGATTCAGGATGCGCCTTGGTATCTGGGCTGCTGGGGGCACTCTGCCTGGGTGCCAGAGTGGAATGGCTATTGGGGGAGGGGTGTGTACCACCCCAAGATGCAGGCAAGGGGGAGGGGACCCCAAGATGTGTCCCCATGTTCACAGTGACAGCAGGAGTCTTTGAACCCCAGGATATGTCCTCCGAGTTCGCTGGGACAGCAGGTGGCCTGGAGCCAGGGCGGGGACACGCTGAGATCTGTGGCTGAGTTGTGAAAGCCAGGGGCTCTGCGGCCGCTCTTGGGACCCCAAGAGGCCTTTGCATCTGCTCATCTGGAAGGAGCTAGGGCATCTCTTAACAGGGTTGCCAAGGCTCTGGGTTCTGGTTTTTGGGCAATTCACTGGACCCAAGTCACCAAGGGTGCCTGAGCTCTATCCAGCACTGCCAGTGTCGCCAGCAGGTCAGGACACGAGTTGGAGTGTGGTGTGAGCCACCAGGATGGCCAAGATGGGCCTTGGGGCCGTGTCTTGGAATGAGACTGCCCCGGGGTCCAGGCAGGTCCTGCCAGACCTCAGCGTCTCAGGAGAGAAGAGGTGGGGTGTGCCTACATGGAGGGCCTGGCCTGCCTACCTGAGCAGGGTCTGGGTGACCTCCAAGGCCGAGGGCAGGAGGAGGTTGAGGGAAGTGGGGGCAGGGCTTTGAGTCTGCTCCAGGCCCATGTCGGGTCCCGTCTCTCACCCCACTTCTGGTAGCTGGGGGGGACACAAGTCACACCCCATGTCCTGTGGACCAGCAGGGTCAGAAGCAGGTCTTGTGCTGACCCAGGCGGGTGCAGTAGCCTCTGCTCCTGTGTGAGGGGCTGTGAGACCCCATCCCCAGTAAGACTGGAGTCTCAGACTCCGACATATCCCTTCCTACCTAGGCTGTGCTTGAAGCCCCCAAACACATCCAGGCCCCCCTGGAGCTGGAGTCAGCCTCAGGGTGTACAGTCTGCGTCCCCTGGCCAACAGCGTGACCCGGCTTCAGTGATTTCTGTCAGGACTGTCAGGGAGGAATGGCAGCTGTCCCCCAACTGAGGGACCGCCACCTCACAGCCTCCCAGGAGTTCAGGGGCGTTTTTCTGAAATCAGGCCACTAATTGGGCCGCTGGGTGAGAACACGAAAGGCTCTTTCCGCTGGCCTAGAAATGGCTGCCGGGGCCCCAGGGGCTCATGACCTGCCGGGAACTGGCTATGCAGCTGGGCCTGGCTTGGGACGGGGGCGCCGAGAACCCCACCTACGGCCAGCCGAGACTGTGGGGGAGACTCGTGCACCTGGGGCCCCTTCACACTGACTTCAGGACTTGGTCCACACCGGCATGGGGGCCCGGAACCCTTCCTAGTGGGAAGCTGTGGCAGGGTCTCCTGGGACTGGCCTCTGGCGGCGGCCACAGCTGAGTGGGTGACAGAGACAGCCTCCGACATCAGTCAACTCTGCAGGGAAAAGGACCCAGGACCCGCCCTGTCCACCTGCCTGTGCCCTGGGCTCTGCGGAGGGCTCTGTCCCAGGGAACCCTGTGGCCTGCAGCCGACCTCCCTCCAGCCCCAGGGTTACAACAGGCTCCCCAGGTCTGTGAAGCCCTTTCCCCAGAGGCCTGAGGCCCCGGGCAGCCAGGGGTGGGGGCGGATGGGTGAATGTGTGGGGCCCGTGGAAAATACCAAAGGCAGCTCCTCCTCGAATTAACAGGAGCTCATGGCAATGACTGTTACATCACCTGTGGAAGGTTCTAAGTGATTTTCAAAAATAAGCTCTTAAATACAAGTGCAGAAAACCTGAAGGGAATCACGGGTGCGTGGCTGCGTCCACACCTGACCTCCACTGTGTAGTGATGGCCTGCTGGGGCTGGGCCACAGCCTCTCTCCCACCGCAGCCTTGGGGAAGCGTGCCCCCCTAGCTGGGTTTACTCCCAACAGCTGTGGGTCAGTGCGTGGTTTCAATTGCCTGAGGACTCCTGCTTAAAAGACGCCCATGTCCTGCAAACCCAGGTATCTCTGTGTTAGTCAGAACCCAGCTCGAAGCAGGAGGTCCTGGAGGGACAGAAGCAGGCTGGGCGGTGGGTCCCCATGGGCTTCAGATGCCCCAACTCCTGGCCTGAGGACTGGAGGTCAGTGTGTCCCTGAAACAGTGCCAGCTGGGCTGCTGGGGTGGGGTGCTGCTCCCAGATCTCAGAACTGAGTGTGAGTGTGTTTAAGGGGAACTGAAGGCAGGGAACAGCCTGCTTGGCTCAGAGGCCCCACAGCTGGCTACACCAAGTTGCTCTCCCAGCAATCGCAGATTTTCCAAACTAGACACAAACTTGCTCAGTAGAGGATGGCGGGAGGTCTTGGGGTGCGCCTTTCCAAGGTCTGTTGGGGAGAGAGTCAGGGCTTCTGCCCCAGGCCACCCTCTGGTGTCGTGGTCCCTGGGTGGCTGTTTTAGGAGCCTGTGGTCCACAGGGTGGTGGCCAGCACCATGCAACAGCTGACAGGGTCTCTGGCTTTGGGATGACGGGGAGGCTGGGTGCAGTGGCTCACACCTGTAATCCCAGCACTTTGGGAGGCTGAGGCTGGAGGATCCCTTGAGCCTGGAAGGTGGATGCTGCTGTGAGCTGTTACCACACCACAGCTCACAACAGGGAGAACTTGTCTCAAAAAAGAAAGAGATGACAAAGGTCCTGTTACCTTGCCCAAGGACACCCAGAAGTTAAGACAGGGTGCTTTGGCCTCTGGCTGTCCCCATGGCTTCGTTAAGACAAATTCTGGGCTGAATGGCCACCGCTGTAAACGGGTCAGGGCCCAAGGGCCTGCCCGTACCACTAACCACAGGACATACTGTAAGTCCAGGTTGGTCTCTGAGACCCTGGATGGGTCACACGGCACCCCATCAGGGATCCTGTGACCGCCACTGGAGGTGGCCCCAATTCCAGGGCCAGGGAAACCAGAGTGCCTAGTCCTCCAAATCTGATTGGTACATGGTTTAGGATGGCCCAAGCTGACCAGGACCCCCATGCAGACGGGGCTGCTTGTGGACAGCCAGGTTGCCCCACCATGGGTGAGTCCGTGCACAGCCCACTTCCCACCCTGTGGGTGACAGGCCTTGGGGGTGCATCCTGCTACGTGGACCCCAAGCCCCAACTTGGGCGGCTGGCTCACTTCCTGGCTGTCTCTGCCACCATGTGGGGCAGAAAGATGCCGGCCTGGATTTCTGAGCTCCTGAAGCTCGGGAACAGCGCGGGCACTTGCCAGCACAGGGTGTGAGGCACAGACCGTTCCAGGGCCTGGCCTATGCCCACAGGGGACTCCTGCCACACGGGCCGCAAGGCCAACACTGTCTACCCCCAACCCGGGGCAGGTCCCAGTGCAGCCCCAGAACAGACGCATGCACCCCAAAAAGGGAGTCGGTGGGGTAGATGCACACATCTGGGGAGCTTTGTGTCGCCCCAAGTGGGCCGTAGCCCTGGGCACCTGGTATTCAGCCCCAGGGCTTTGCCAGCAGCAGAAGCCTCGAGGTGCGCAGGGTCTGTGCCAGAGGCCTCCAACCTGCCCTTGTGGCCTCTGCACCCGGGTGCCAGCACCTAGGTCCTGGCAGCGATGGAGAATCTTGCACTCAGAGGGCGGCAGAGAGCCCCTGAGCAGCCCAGGTGTGTGCAGGTGCATGTCTGTGGCCGGGGTGGGTGCAAGGGGAGGGAGGAGCT